TTGCCAACATTTCGTGACATAAAACAATTTTACAATCTTGCAGATTACGGGAACACGTGTAGCCAAACCATTGTTGAAATAATTTGCAGTTGTGAGTGGATTTTACAGTACAACACACACACCTCTCTTCGAATTTGGCTGGAGAGTGATGAGTCCTAGATCCTGGAAGCGGTCTCTGAGTCTGTCACGTAAAACGTTCGCTTGCCAAAATATCGTGACGTAGAGGGGTTGGAGGATCCTATTTTATAAAACCAACATCGACGCCCCTTTCTGATCAAAGTCCAAAAGACAAAGAAATAAGCGGAGACGTTTCATGCTTTCCTCCATCATAATCAGGTCCTATTTTGGTTTTAAATTGCCGAACTTTGTACAGCATAATCCAATTTCGATAACTAAAACAAGACTCTCTGCACTGCAAACTCTGGTACAAAGAGAGAAGGGTTTTTTTTTTTTACCGTTTTGAACTCAGCGATTGCTAGAACAACAAACCGTAGTACACTTTTTCTCAAATGTCCATTGAGTGACAGTATAGAATGGTTTTGGCAACAACTAAAATTGGTGGCACTCAAATTGACTCAAATCCGTAAAATTTGCAACTAACCTCTCTCTAATATACATACTATGAAAAATGATATGATGCAAAATATTAAACTAAAATTACAGTCTCTACATAAACACTCATTTAAATCCCATTCCTCTCAAGCTATATGCCTCAATTCAGCCGCGGCTATACATTTTAACCGGGTTGAATCCGAAATAAGCTAAGGGGTGGGGTACTTAAATCCCCGTAACCTTTTCCTCCAACAAAAACATTCAGTCACGATTGCACAGAAATACTAACCCTAAAACTAAACGAAAATAAGAATGAATTTCTAAAAGTTTCACCCAAGCTAACAGCATATAGTTCGCAGTTATCTATACAATGATGGATCAACTAATACGAGCTCTATAGGCATAGGTAATATTGATGGCATTCATGTTGAAGCAATGCCAGATATTTCTTAGTCATGCATTTATGAGTAAAACATGAAAAATTTGAGGTCACTGCTAGAAGTATGAGATTTTATCTTGATTCGATTTATTGGCATTTTTAACATGTTTAAGTGACACGAGATACAAGAGAGATTTCTCNTTCACTGCTTAAGGGCTGGCTGGGGACATTGTGTTTTGTTCCTGGGCAAGACACTTTACTCTCACAATGCCTTTGACTCCTCACCCAGGTGTATATTTGGGTACCGGTGAAAAGGCCGCTTTCAATATGTTAACATTCGGCTCGATAGTGAAGCCTGGAGGACATTCCATTCTCTTTGTTTGTGTCCTCTAGGCCTCACTGCCAAGCTGAATTTTAATATATTAAAAACAATCTATTGTTGGAGCGGCCTGACGGAATGGTGGGACTCACATCCTATCCAGGGCATTAATTACTTATTGAGTACCTCGGCACTCATTTAATTTTTTGTGTTCCGGTTGCGGTATGTAATCAGTTTTGATAATTTGAGGGGGATGCTCTTAAAACTCGTGACATTTGTAATTGATAACAAGCAAACGTTAACAAAATATAGGCAAATTGATCAAAAAAACCATTGTAATCTAGGAGAATAAATATATGCGGCTGGTTAAGGTTCAGTTGAACTGGGTTTTCAATTAGACTCAAACTATTCTGTCCGATTTAGCGCTGCATTGCTGTGAATGGAATGGGGGAGGCTATCAACGCTAAAGAGACCGGGGTAAGCTCTAGTAAGCCACGTTAAACCTCGTTTCCATTATTTCTAAGGGAAAAGCCCTGGGAACTACCTTGGGCCAGTGACGTAATTGATTATGCACGCCTCCTGTTTCTAGCAACGAAAAAATCTGATAACAATGCAAATTACCTGGAGATCTGTGGCCAAGCCATTGTTAAAAATATCTTGCAGTTGTGAATGAATGTTCCAGTGTAATCCAGACAACTCTCCTCATTTTGTTTGGGGTGTTGTCAGTCCTGGAAGCCGGGTCTTGGAGCCTGTGACGTAACCTTTTGCTTGCCAACATTTCGTGACATAAAACAATTTTACAATCTTGCAGATTACGGGAACACGTGTAGCCAAACCATTGTTGAAATAATTTGCAGTTGTGAGTGGATTTTACAGTACAACACACACACCTCTCTTCGAATTTGGCTGGAGAGTGATGAGTCCTAGATCCTGGAAGCGGTCTCTGAGTCTGTCACGTAAAACGTTCGCTTGCCAAAATATCGTGACGTAGAGGGGTTGGAGGATCCTATTTTATAAAACCAACATCGACGCCCCTTTCTGATCAAAGTCCAAAAGACAAAGAAATAAGCGGAGACGTTTCATGCTTTCCTCCATCATAATCAGGTCCTATTTTGGTTTTAAATTGCCGAACTTTGTACAGCATAATCCGATTTCGATAACTAAAACAAGACTCTCTGCACTGCAAACTCTGGTACAAAGAGAGAGTTTTTTTTTTACCGTTTTGAACTCAACGATGGCTGGAACAACAAACCGCAGTACACTTTTGCTCAAATCACCATTGAGTGACAGTATAGAATGGTTTTGGCAACAACTAAAATTGGTGGCACTCAAATTGACTCAAATCCGTAAAATTTTCAACTAACCTCTCTCTAATATACATACTATGAAAAATGATATGATGCAAAATATTAAACTAAAATTACAGTCTCTACATAAACACTCATTTAAATCCCATTCCTCTCAAGCTATATGCCTCAATTCAGCCGCGGCTATACATTTTAACCGGGTTGAATCCGAAATAAGCTAAGGGGTGGGGTACTTAAATCCCCGTAACCTTTTCCTCCAACAAAAACATTCAGTCACGATTGCACAGAAATACTAACCCTAAAACTAAACGAAAATAAGAATGAATTTCTAAAAGTTTCACCCAAGCTAACAGCATATAGTTCGCAGTTATCTATACAATGATGGATCAACTAATACGAGCTCTAGGCATAGGTAATATTGATGGCATTCATGTTGAAGCAATGCCAGATATTTCTTAGTCATGCATTCATGAGTAAGGCATGAAAAATTTGAGGTCACTGCTAGAAGTATGAGATTTTATCTTGATTCGATTTATTGGCATTTTTAACATGTTTAAGTGACACGAGATACAAGAGAGATTTCTCCTAAACAAAACAACAACAACAACAGCTAAGTTGAGTCACGAATTTTTCCCAGGTTCCAAGCGTATCTAAATCCTTGCATGTGTATGTTTGGTTTGTCCTTCACTAGAGCGAAGTCATTAAAGAGTACTTTTGTTGTAGCCCAAGGTGATATCTAACATACAGGATTCGTTTTGCATGGTTGCATTATCATCGTTGGGACATTTCGAGGACCTTTGAAAGGTACGACATGCCGTCTCCATCTCTGACATTTGAAAGGATGATTCTTAAAACACTTGGAACTTTATCCACAACAACTAATTTTCACGTTCTTAATTCCGCGAAAAGTTTTTGCGAGTATTAATTATCGTGATTCCAGGAAAAAAAGTGTACACAAGTAGATTAATTTCGCGGCTTCTTTGCCATTGGTTTAATCTCCGAAATCCTGATCCGAGGACCCGTAAATGTCACCACAAGGAGCCTACAAATTGAACATTTGATGACCGTATTAAAGAGGTTTTGAATCGGATAAAGAGTGCTCTCGCTAGGAGAAAACAATACCATAAAGACTGTTAATTTCAAGGGCAAAAAGTGAAGAACTTCTAACGAGCCCGTGGCTCAGAACATTTAAAATCTATTAATTGTTTCTCACCTGATCTGGTATTAAATTTCACGTCTTTAATCAGTTTGGCGCTCTCTTTTTGTCGCGATAATTTTCGCGTTTTTTCCCACACGCGCGCGAAAAACGCGAAATTTCGCGCGAAAATTAGCAAGTTTAAGGTAGGTTCTTGAAATCTCTTCAATCTCATGCAGGCGCGGATCTAGGATAAATGGTGACTGATTTCCGAAATAACGAGTGTCTTCTACAGGGGTCAAGGGCAATGCTCCCTTAAGAAATGTTCTGGAATTTTTTATTCCTAAAGTCTCCTTTTGGGGGTTCTTGAGTAATTCTGAAATATCTGACCGATTTTCGTAAAACGGTGGAAACCGGTATGGATCCGCGCCTGTCACGTACAGTTTTGACTGGAAATCTTAAAGATTACTCTTGCAGGGGAGTACGTATTTCATTAATTTATTAATGCTAGTCAGCAAAGATGAGTACTTGTTATTATAACTCGGTAAATGAGGTTTTTATGTCTAAGTGTATCGAGAATAAATGGTTAATTTAACACTGTGGTGTAGACGACACGAAGTATCTCCTCAGAGTATCCAACATTGCAACAAATAATTTTTCAGTTGGCCTTCTAAAAGTTTGATCAAATCACGAGGAAACACGATGAAAAGATGCATACCAACTTTCATCAAGGTTATTGAACTTTGTACGTTTTTTCTTTAAATTAGAATTCTCGGTTGGATCTGAACTTTCAAACAAATTTTTGCATTAAGCTTGGGTTTCGTAAGGACACATTAAAGGATTTTCTTAGAATATATCTTTTTAATCAAATTAGTAATAGATCTTTGTCAGTTTTGATACGATGTTACATAAACAAAACTGAGATGTTTAATAAGGTTGTGAGGTTAAGTAAAGGCCTTAGTTGTATTTGGCCAGCACGAAACGATTCGCAACGTTTTCTAGTCTTCATTTGCAACGAAAGATTGATACTAATGTATAACTTTCTTGTTTGGTTTACTGATCGCAATGATTTCGTGTGAATACCTCTTTTACGTACTGAAGCTAAGCTTCAAATTGTTTCTATATGGAAGTCCGTAATGACACCGACTGGCTAATCCTGACCACACGAACAGCTTTGTTCGTTCCGCGATGTTGTTTGTTTAGTTTTGATATCTTGCTTAATGTCTAAATGTTTTTTCACATTATCATAAACTTATTTTTAGTCCACTAGGGAATTAGGGGGCGTACCTTAGCACTGAAAGCCACCCTCGTGACAGTAGAATTTTGTGGTCCAACGAACAAATGTAAACATTACCTTGGAGCATCTTATTTCTCTTTTCCAAAACGTGTGAAACAAATTTAAGAAAAACAACGCAACTTAAAAGTGTGTAGACTTTCCCACAAGTCGAGCTACGAAAGCCGAGCTCGGAAAGCGAAAAAAGGTCTGTGATGCTCACAACTTGAGTATGAACGAGAACTGAACGACTTTTAGAATGTCTCAAATGACGTGTAGTATATCTCCGGAATACAAGGCGGATAATACCGGCTGATAAAACCTCTTTTTGCAATGCTAGCTTTTGCCACCTGTAAATATCGTTACATTAACACATTAATTAGTCAGATTTTTTTATTATTTTTCTTTGGGAAACAGGGTAACACTGGCAGCAGATCGTCACGCAAAGGAGACAAGTGTGACATTACCTGACGTTGCGCGACGACCCAAAGAGGAGATTAGCCTTGTGGAATACGTCATGTTATGAACCTGTTCCGACAAGCGCACACATGGGGCAAGAGGTCACAACTGTTCCACTGTTTCGTCGTGCTTTCCTTGTTGTTGCAGTCTAAATTAAACATGGATACGTGCATATCTCAAGAAAAGCAAAATCCTCATCATTTCCGCAAGTACCACACGCCGTTTTGTGAGGACACGTGTGTCATAAAACATCACGACTTGGTGGCAGCGTTATGCGTGAACTGGCGTTATGTCAGAATTCACCAGCCCGGGATATTACCACCAGTGTTGACGGAAGCCATTGAATCCACGACGCTGTCGGGCTGGGATAAGAACGGCGACGTACCTGATCCTTTGGAGGAGTTACGATGCCCGCTGCTCTACCTAGCGTGCGCATTTGGAAAGAGTGGAATCGTGGAGGGACTTCTTCGACACAATTTTGATCCATGTGTGGTAAACCAACATGGCGAAACAGCCTTACACGGGGCTGCGAGGCATTTATACAACACCGGAACGTCTTCGCGGAAAGAAAAGATTGGCAAGAATGTCAGCACTAAAAAAGGCCGAGAAGAAGTTTTTTTCAGCATAGTGTCGCTACTGACTAAATATAACCCCAGATTATTGGCCTTCAAGGACAACAGTGGTTTCACAGCGTTCCACTTGTGCGCTACGAACATCACATACACTAACTCGAACAAAAGCGCGTCTTTTCATCAATTCTGTTTAAAGGTTATGATCAAACGATTGTTTGAACTTGAAGCCGCTTCCTTGTTGTCAAAATATGAAGTGATGGAAATCATTAAAGCCCCAGACAATGAGCACGGTGATTCTATTTTGCATATTCTGGCCAGAGACAGAAAGGATGGTTTTGAGGTCCTGAAATTCGTTCGCCTCTTTGTTCTATTGGGCATAGGAACTGAATTGCCAAATGAGAAAAACTGGACAAATGAAACAGTGTTTTCAATCGCTTGCCAGACGAATGCACGCGGCGCTGAGGAAATATTTCCGGGCTTATCATGTGCGAACAGCTGTCAACATTATTTTGATTGGCAATATCAAGGTTAGTACAGTATTCATTAGTAGAATATCGTATGTTATTTAAATGAGCTCATGAGCTTACTTTGGCCACATACAAACTTACGTTTAAATCAGGCAGGAAACCTGAAAATAACAGTTTAATGAGATAGAAAAACACCAAAGACATAAAGGAACAAGGATGGCTAAGGATGGAGAAGATTGACACGGATTACAAACGACGACCTTGAAAAATTGAGGCTAAACTTTTCAATATGCGCAAACCGTGACTGAGCTCCTTCAAAGAACATGGCGTGCGTTTAAGACGCTCTAGTTAACAGCAGTTTCTCCCCATATAGGGTTTCGTCTAACAAGGCGTCTGACATAGTTCATTCACGAGCTGTTGACCGGGACCACTTTCCTCCTTTCCTGTACGTACCTGGTGTACAAGTTACCATGGTAAAGGTACGGAGAGGATTTTTTGGCGAGGAAGCGTTCCGTGACCACACCCAAAGGACGGCCTCCGCCCTCCCTTGACAAACATACAAACAAGAAAACAAAATCAAAAGAAAACAGGGATGAAAGGGGGACGAGAATTTAGCACCCAACTTATTCTCCCGACGGAACAAAAAGAGGGCCTGCCAGTTAGGAAAATGTTCCACAACACTCTAAAATGTCTCTTATCTCCATGTAGATCCTTCAGCTACCACACAACCCGAAATGTTGCGAGGAACTGGGGTTCAAGTGGCAAACATCGACACCAGTATACCACAGGTATACCACAACTTTGAGGATGCCGGTTTTCCCACAGGACACCCATTCGCGGAGTTGAATGCCACTTCTTCGAACCCGAATGTTGATCACGCTGTTCCTCGTGTCCTCATAAGTATGCCGAAGATCACCAACACGTTTTCGCTGGCCGGAGAAGAAGCTTGCGAAGAGAGAAGTCAAGGGTCTTCCAAAACAGAATCTGCAGAAAACTCAAGTACATCAAGTGGTGACGTTGAAGTCATTGAAACTTGGGCAGCTGATAATCGCTGGGACTGGGGTGAGCCACACACTGATGAAGTTAGCCAATCAGCTTGCAGTGAGAATGCGGAAACTTACAGCACATCTTCAAGTGAGGTTGAAATCGTGGAATCTTGGGAGTTAAATGAGTCCTCGGATCTTAGCCTGTCGCCATGTGACGAAGCTAGGAACACTGAAGGAGAAAGTTCTTTTCTTGAATTCGTGTTAACTGAGGGAAGTTCCCTGGATGCGCTCTCAAAGAGGGACATCGTGGCTGTAGTCCTGACAAAGCATAAGGAAAAAATACGTGAACTGGAAGACAGCATACCGCAACTTGAAGATATGTTAACAGAAAGCGAAACGAGTATAGTTCAGAAGACTGCAAGACTGAACTCATTACAGAAGGAAGTAGATTCGTTGAAAAAGGAGATTGCCGAAAAAAACAAATCCAGGAACGAACTGCGACAGAAAATTGACCTGATGAATGAGGAGAAGAACAGCCTTAGGAGAAGGGTGGAACATTGTCAGGAAACCAAAGAGCTGCTTACAATCCCTTTTAAAAAGGCTCGAGTATGAACAGTGCATTAAGTTTATCCACTTAAAAGCTTTTTTCACGGATAATAATACCTAATCGTACCCTTGGTCTAGCAATGTGGCTGAACTACCGTATTAAGCATACCCAAATTTGGACGTCATAGCCATATCAGATCAGTGACTTGATATCGAAGGATACCAGGACAGTAGACACAACTTCTGTATGGTGACTTAATACAAATGTGGGTACTGTGTCCATATGTGGTCAAGAAGTCCTTGTTATTTGTCATCCGTACCCCTACATAGACTTGCAATATCTTTATCAGTTCAGTATAGTTTCCTGAATACTCGGACTTGTGCTCCAGAATTCTCTCCGGCATCTTGCAAAGTGCTGTACAGCCACAGGTTACCTCGCCCTGGTTGTAAAAATATGATTCGTTGACATTTTGCTGAATAATTGAACGATTACTGACCATGCTCAATCTTTCATGCGGAATATCGTCTCTGATTCTAGCCAAATGAGGATCGGTATCATAGAAACAAATTTCAAACGTATAAGGAGTGCAATTCATTTAGGTAATGCTTTATTTTGCAGAGGAACGTTTAAATCGATTGCTGATTTGCATTTTATATCAACAAATAGTTAGAAGATTATAAGAAGTTTGGTTCTTCAGTCTGGCTCAATTTAAGTGAGCTCTGTCCTAATTACAACTCGAGGTATTTATATATGTAGTTGGCATATACTTTGGCGAGGCAATCACTACAAATTCATTTCGTTGACGTATCTGAGACGAACGGCCGACAAGACTGTCGGTTTTTTTTTTTTTGTGCAGACCACGTGACCCCAAACGATTGGCCGCGACGAAACATCGAGGCCTAAGAACTTAGAAACGTTTTATGAAGATAATTCTACAGAGTTTGCGCAAAATTAACATGAAGTTGATATTTATGTATATGTTTTTGCTTATCGACATTTAAGATGCCGAGTCATGTTGAAGTGCCATTGGCCATTACTCGACTTGGCTATAAGTGTCACGTGATGTCTTGCACTTATTATGTAGAAAATGGAGCGGTTTTCAATTGAGCCGGTGTCGAAAGTAATTAGACAATTACTTTGGTTTTGGTTTTGGTTTTACGACACTCAATTGAAAACCGCACTAAAGATACCGAACAGTGAACGATACGCAGTGCCAGAACTCTCAGGAAAACAAAATCTTTACTGAAATGCATCGAATATGACTATAATTGAATCACGCTCTTTAGAACAGTCGAAAAGAAGTAGTTCCTCCTTACTGAATGTCGCTTTTTTATAAGTTCTAGTTCCACTTTTCGATAGAAGCGCCCCCTTTACGAAATTGACATAAAAATTACTCAATACACGAGTGAATTATGTAGTCGGCTTTCTCATCTGAACGTAATATTGAACTTTTGTACAGACGAAAAGAATATGTTGTGGTTCATTAGAAAGTTTTGTGATTACAGTCCATTAATGATTTATGATTAACAATGTTTTCCAACAAATAAATAAACAAACAAATAAATAAATAAATAAATGTTTTACTACTATTATACATCAGAGAATGATAGCGTGTTTCACTGCATGACGTTGCCCGTGTGATTTGCGTTACAGTTGTTATTTAGTCAATAAAAACGTCTGTTCCTGTAGTTTAAGAAATCGGCTGTGTTTTCTTTCTTTTTTTTAACTTGGAGTGTTATTAAATCAAGCATACGTTTTCCTGTCAGCACAACTAGCCAAACAAGTAGTAGCCTAGGGTAAATATATTTTTATTCTCTCGAGTTTCAAATCTATACAGACGATCGCAAAGCTAGTAACTGCCCTAACGAGCGATTAACTGTCCCCTCTGCCAAGCTGCGATGGGTAAACAGATCTAAATACCGTTGGCTGACAGTTCAGAAACACGGTCGCAAAATACATAGGAATCTTACATCACGATCGGAATGCAAAACATCCATTTATAGGAAGGTAAAACATCCTTGCAGCGGAAATGAACCAGGAATCTCTCCGCGCGTGGACAAACATTTATGATATGGAAAAAGTGATTATAATAAATGTTGATGCTTACAACTATGTCATTGGGCTTAATGAATTTCTGGGAAAATTACGAAGACATGTTTTTTTGTCTTAATGTATTTATCAATTGCATGTTAGCACTTTCCTTACATGCATTGAAAACATTTCAGGCATTCCGTCCATTCTTTTGTGGCTTAATTACACTGGAATTTTGAACACTCCAGTATTAAGTTACCTCCCCTCTCGTGCAAATTGTCTATCCTGTGTTCAACCGACAGTTTTTCTTCACTACAGTTATACGACAAAGACATAAATGATGGTAATTACTGGCATTCAAGTACAGAAGAGACTATTTTGGTAACATGACGACGGCAATATAAATGAATTCAAAGAATGCGAACACACTTGTGTACCGCAACGGAAATATGCATTCCTAACATTCTCGTAATCAGTCACCACAGAATTCCGAGAGCTCGATCCCTGTAGTTTTGACGACTCTATCATCCCTCGAATAGTTTTCCTATAGTAAAACGCTCGAATAAATTATTAGCGGACTTTTGAAAGATGAAGATTCGACGAGGTCACACAATATCATGTCACGCTAAGAAGGTCACGTCTGACTGAAAGCTTACCTGTGTAGATACCATCTGAGTGTCTGTCGCTTCTTGAATCGATCGTATATATAAAGCCTACATCTACGTGGTCTAGATATAACAGATCGATGGAAAGAGTGAATTATCACACACCCTTCTGCCCAGGTCGACCGAATTCTTGCAGTGTAAGTCATCACGATTTGGTGAACATTTTATGCTCGGATTTCGATAATTCCTCTGGTAACTTGTCAGTGGAAATGAAACAGTGCATCGAAATAGCCAAAACATTTGGCTGGGACCAAAACAGTAACGTTCCTGATCCTTTAAAAGAGTTAAACTGTCCGCTGCTCTTCCTGGCTAGTGCGTTTGGAAAGACAGGTGTTGTGGAAGGACTTCTTCGAAACGGTTTCAACCCTGGCGTTGTGAATGAACACGGCGAAACTGCTTTGCATGCTGCGGTAAAACACTTGCACATGTATAGTAATCCGACGGGGAAAGCCTTCAGGAAAAGGGAAGACGTTTTTCAGCGTATTTTACTTACGCTAAGCGCTGCTGATCCTAAGATCTTAGAGGCTCAAGATAGCGAAGGTCGTACAGCTCTACATGTGACAGCCATTGCAAGCTTGGACCGCAGTGGATTCGCTGACTGGAACAAACGGCCAGCTCTCTTTTCTCAATTCTGTTTGAAGGCTATGATTAAACGCCTCAAGGAGCTTGAAGCTGCAGCTGTGCTAACCAGAGATGAGGTTTTACACATCGTCAAAACTACCGAACATCGAAATGGTGATTCCGTTTTGCACATTTTGGCCGGCGATACCGAGTTCGGATTTGAGACACTGAAATACATCTTAGACTTGTTTCTTCCTGGAAGGCTGCCGGACGAAAAAAACAACGAAGGCAAAAGCGTTTTTTCCATCGCCTGGGACATTGACTCAGAAAAAGCTTTGATGTTATTTTTTTCCGGACCATCGCAACGTCTTGAGCAAGGTAAGGAATAATTCTAAATTAATATTGAGAAACTGTTCTTTCCAACGCTATATCACGCACATTGTCTGCCAAAGGTATCGACGCTTAGCTTTGGCATCACTGTTTCTTCAGGGTTCAAAAATTTTTTTTGCTGTTTTGTGTTTGCTATGTTGCCTGGTGGCTCAGCCCGAACTAGTAGCGCGGTGCTTGATGGGACGCAATAGGCCATTTGCGAGTTGCCTTTTGCCTCGATGTCAAAACGAATCTTCGAGCGAAAACATTCATATGAGCCATATGAAAGTGTGTTCCCCCTACAGGTCCATTTTCATGCAAATTAAACTCCCTTTCATATCAAGAGTTTGCTCCGAGACTCGTTTTTTTTAAAACAGAGGCACAAAGTAACTTAAGTAACAGGCCACCAAAAATGGCTTCTACACTGTGTAATCCAGTTTACTGTAGTAAAATGAAAACTTCATACAACTTCATTGGAATCTCTTTCGGCTTTCACAGGAAAAAGCTCCCCTTCTGCTGCACAATCTGGAGGAAAGCCAGCCGTTAACAATACCGAGGACCAAAACCAAATAGTAATCAATATTGATATAATGGAAGCAGATGGCAATCAGTCTGGTGTCCCTGAAGGTTCCAGTACCACTGCCACAGGGAGCCCAGTCCCTAAAGTAGTTGTGACTTCATTCGACCCTAAAGCTGACTCCCTTGAAGCAGAATTACCGACGATCGCAGAATTTTGGTCGCTGGCTAGTGAGGGATGTTCAGAGAACAGCCGTGAGAAAACTAGGGATGAAAAATCCGCTGGCGCGACTTCTTCAAGTGACATTGAAGCTGTCGATGAAAAAATTCATGATGCAGTTAATCTGCCGTCTATTTTGAGTTGTTTGGAGTCTTCCTCCACTGATTCGGGATCCTCTCGCTTGTCTAGCGAGGCTGAAGCTGTGGAAGCGGAGATCACTTTGGGGCGGAAACGCAAAAAAGACGCTGGAGTTAACGAGTGTTTATCGGATCTCGCAGATGAAGGCCTGGACCTTTTTGTGGACACCCCAGGCAAGGTGGCTTTTGTTGGAGTTCTGTTAACAAATTATCAACAGAAACTGAGTCAAGTACAGGACAGCTACATGAAGTTCAGGCAGCTGAGAGTGGAAGGCGAAACGGCTTTGAAGCAGAAGAATATAAAAATGGAACTTTTGAGGAACGAGCTTGATCTTCTTAAAAAAGAGATCTCTGCCAAAAAGAGGAGCGTCAAAGACCTCCAAAAGAGAGAAGAACTATTGTGTAAAGAGAAAACAAATATAATGAAAAAGATCTCGCATTGCGAGACACTTAAAAATCAGTTTGAGGGGAAAAAGTCTCGCTCGAAGTGACTAAATTCGTCTATAATAAGTCGTTGTGTTCGTCTCGCGTGCTTTACAATGTGTAAATCCTTACAGAGTCTAACCAACAAGCTTAGAAGATTGTAGTCGGCGCGGGAATCCAGTGTGCAGAAGAAACGAAGGGCAGATATTACTGAATTTTAGCACAGCTGTTTTTGAAACTCGGACGGGAACTAGTAGCTGAATGTTCTCCTTTTTGGTGCTATCGACTTTGTTCCAAAAATAAAAAACGTCAAATTGTAAATTCTGAAACGGGTCGGCGCTTTCTAACTCACCAGTGAGTGGGAAAGCGTATCAAACAACAAGAACGTTAACTTCTGGCTGTCGTCCATGGTTCCAAAAACAGCTATGAAGCTTGCGCAGTTTTATGCACTCTGCAGTAGCTTTTTAGTGATCTTGTGTGAAGCTGAACAGCATGTAGAAGTGTCATTGATAGCTGACAACTTTTTTTTGATCTGTAAGTTGGTTTTAGGGAGTCCACAATATTGAGAAGGATTTCATTGAACTGAGCTGTGTAATTGCGCATGAACCCTTGTCCTCGTAATGGAATATTCCGTTGTAATTGTTGCGGCATTTTGCCTCTTAACAGAACTTTGAGCACTTCTCTATTCCCCTTTTATTTTTACTCATTTAGGACGCGCGCACCGAGAGCGCGCGTATTTTAGATCGCACATGTGATGTAATATTTGATAAACTGTCGCGCCATACTGTTGTAGCCTTTTAGAAAAAGGGGGAAATTTTTCGTTGAAATGCAGGTTGTTTTAATTTTTAGTGGTCTGCTTCGGTTTTGTTTTAGAAGTTATCGGTTTTCCAAACTCACGGAAGTTCCTCTCCACAGTAATAATTGTGTTATGAAAATAGCATTACCTACCATTGCTGGCAAAAGTGTCACGTTAAAACACTATTATGTTTGAATACCATGGACAAACTTTACTCCTCCCTTCGAATTCCCTCCAAGATAATTATCTTTAAAAAATGTTGGATTTTTAGTCTCGATTACTTAGGTCCCGACCACACTATTGCGTTTTCAAAAGTCTCCGTTTTCACTTCGAAGAAATCGAAGCAAAATGTTTCCACCCTCACTAGCGTTTTTGCATCGCTTTTTGACCTGTCCACACTAATCCGTTTTCATTCGAAAACGTTAATAGCGACAGTACATCACGCTTTTTTCCGCACTGTTTTCAAAAAGCCTTCGTTAATTTTCACCTAGCCACGTTAGAAATGGAGAGTT